TCATCCAGTTCCTCAAAATGTTTATTGAAAACTAACAAAAATTACTTTATGGTCTCAAGCAAGCGTTGCAACAATGGTTCTTGAAGTTCTCTAATACCGTTATTTTCACATTGTGATCACACTAGCTTCTTGAAAACGATTGTTGTTGTATGTCTTTGTGTCTTAGTATATGTTGACAATATCGTAATTGCTCGATATAATGACTCAGCGGTGGACACATTAAAGAATCAGATTCATTCTCACTTCATGATGCGTGACTTAGGACCATTAAAATATGTCCTTGGGTTGGAAATCGCTCGATCCACGACAGGTATCTCTATTTGCCAACATAAATATGCTCTTGACCTCATTAATAGAACAGGGTTGCAATGCTACAAACGTTTTTCTATTCCAATGGATCCTTATGTGAAGCTTTCCAAAAAAAAAACAAATAGTGGTGATTTGGTTAATCATGAAGATAATAATCGTCTTACAGGCAGATTAATGTACATGCAAATCCGAATATAATACTTAGTCAATTTTACTGTGATTCTCGTAAGGCACATCAACAAGCTATCTACAAAGTGATTCATTACATAAAAGGTACAACTAGACAAGGCTTATTTTACTCATCTAATATTGAACTACATGCTCAAGCTTTTACCGATGCAGATTGGAAATCTTGTCAAGATACAAGACGTTATACTTGTGGCTTCAGAATATTCGTGGAAATCATTTGTTGGAAGTCCAAGAAGCAACAAACTTCTTAAATTCCTCAAGAAAAGCAGAACATCGAAGTGGCAGTTCATGAATTGGTATGGCAGACCATTTATTTATTATTATTATTATTTGCTGGAATTGCACGTTAAATCAATAAGAACAAGATATTTTTTGTTTTTCGACAATGAGAACAAGATTTATTAAAAATATACTTCACTCGGTAAGAATTAATAATGGGGTTTTTACTAAAAATAACCTTAAACTTTACTATGAATACAAAAGTAGATCCGTGATATAACATTTAGCAAAATTAATCTAAATGAGTAGTAAAAAAACCATTTAATTCTGTATAACTAAACAAAAAATAGATGACCTAATTACCGTTTAAACTCTGACGAAGTCTATTAAAAATAGACAGAGTTTACTTTTTAGAAAAGATATAAAGTCTACTATGTAATTCAATCAAAAAATTTAATTTTAAAATTTATAAAAAATTATTTTTGTATCAAAATTACATTTATAAATTAGGTAATTGTAACCCAAATGTATATAAATTATTTTTTCATATTGATAAATTTAAATTTATGTTTTTAAATTAGGAGGATGAAAATCTATTATTTAGGTTTAAACTTAGTAGACTTCAATATTGAAGTCTGCTAAACCGAAAAAATTAACCTTATCGGAATTTTAATCGAAATTGAACTGGAAATAACTTCTCCTAACCAATAAAAACTTCCCAAGAAAAACTTTTCGTAACCGGGTAAACTTACCTAAACCCAGAAAAATAATTAATCTAACCGAAAAAAATTTACCCGAACCGAATAGAATTACCCACTATATAAAGAAATTTTACAGGTCACGTTAAAAAAAACCGTCAAAAATTTCCTGTTGAAAAAAAAATAAAAAAACAAAGGCGATTTCTGTTTCTCTTCAACGGCGCCGCCAATTTACTTCTCAATGCCGCCGATAACCCTTTCCAGGCAAGTTTCTTCCTCCAACTTCACCCCCATGCTTCCCTACTACTCCGTATTCATCACTATTCTGTGTTCGTCACCACCAGTGTCCAGATCTGAAATTAGGGTTTTTTTTTGGCAGATTTACTTGCGCCACTTGACTGTAACATAATTTCCTGCTTCAAACCGGTAAGTAGATGTCCTTCCGAAGCTATATACATAGTTGTTCCTCTATATTCTTCTATCTTCTTGTAATTTTGTCTGTTGGGTGAGAGTACATAGTTTTTTTTTTGCAGATCTACTTGCATTTTCTCGACACCGGCTTTATCTAATCACGCTGGTAACCATTATCTACTTTGTAGATTCCATTTGGATTGATTGCTTTTAGTAGACTTCATATACTGTATTTTTGATGTATTGATTGCTTCGGTTGGCTTCAGTAGACTTCTCGAGTCGTAGCGTACTTTGAATGTGAAAAAGTAGACTTCATTATGAAAAAGTAGACTCCATTGTGAAAAGTAGACTTCATTGTGAAAAACTAGACTTCGCTTTGCAAATAGTAGACTTCATTCATTTATAGTTTCAAACTGTTACTTATAATCAGTTTTCTGATTAAAGCTCTTTTACCGTTGATGTAGAATACTGTGTTAGATAATGGAGGCCTCTGAATTCCCGCGAAGATTTTACACCAAAGGCGGTGAGCCAGTCCCGACAAAAGCATCGGCTATCATGTTGATGATTATAGGCTGGTTCCTGCACTACGCAAGCTCTACGAGAGGATGAATGGGAATAGATTTATGAGTCACCGTTGGGTGTCTTCTTAATGTTCTACGAGTAGGATTTTGGTTGGGCGTCTAGGCTGATGCACCACATGCTCACCTTTCGGATAGTTTGAAATCAGAGGTACAAGATATGAAGCCTGATTGGTACCACTCCAGTGAGGTTTTCATTGCATGAGTTTGAGGAAATCACCGGACTCAACTGCGGGTACGTGACTGACTTGGCTCTACCTGATCTTGAGCTTTCCGATGACATGCGGGTATTCTGGGAGCAAATGGGGGTCGATGTCGACTTGGGACCAAGCACACTTGAAATAATTGAAGCCTGTTCTAACTGCTCATCATGGTCTCGGGATGATAGGATGCGTTAGGGATATCTTGGGATCTATGCTGGTTTCATAGTGGCAACAAAACCAAGCTCATCCACAAATGCAAGCTCATCCACAAATGCTAACCATGTCAGACTAGTGATAGATCTCGAAGGTTTTAGAGAGTTCCCATGGGGAAGAATTGCTTTTCAGCATCTGATCAAGTCTGTCAAGGAGAAAGATCTCAGCAAAAATATTCATATAGAAGGATTTGTGCAAGCTCTTCAAGTATGGGTATATTATGCTCTTCCGGATTTTGCTGCTGAATTTGGCAGCTTTGAATCAACGTTTACTTTGTTATCAGGATCGTCTTCCATTAGTTGAACCTCATCGAGTTGCTCAATATCTGGTTCTTCCATTGTGTTGATCAGTCGATGTGTACTTCTGTTGCCGCTTCTCCTGCTGGCATTATCTCTGCGAGGTCTTTGATACGACATGTTATCTCTAGTTGATCTTTCGTTCCTGACCACATGTGAATCAGAACATAGACAGTGTCAATGCTCGTAGGCTGGGTCTTCCTCCCACCTGATTTGTGCCCATGCTCTAGACAACACGTCTTCCATCGTTCTGCACTGATACTTTGTCAATTCTTTATACAGGTCACCGTTTTGGAGCAAACCTCTTTTGAAAGCTGAAATCGCAGTAGACGTGACACATGCTGGTATAGACACTTTTTCCTTGTTGAATAGTCCCACATAACTTCGTAAGGATTCACTTCTCTTCTGAACGACCTCATAAAGATCATCAGCTGTCTTCTCCAAATTCCGCTACTTGCAAACTGTTCAACGAAGCGATCTGTTAGCGACGCAAAGGAGTCGATCGAAGCATTTGGAAAATTTGTAAACCATTGAAGGGTTGGTCTCAAAAGACTCGAACTGAATCCTTTGCAGATGGTAGCTTCACAAAGTTCTTTTGCAACTGCCATCGTAAACATTCTCTGCTTGTATTGTGCTATGTGGTTATCTGGGTCCGTCGTTCCGTCGTACATCTTCATTGTAAGAAGTGTAAACTTCCTTGGCATCTCCACCAACGCAATTGCGTCTGTGAACGAGGTATCAGCGTAAGATTTAGGTGCACGTTTTGTGATTGGAGGAGCTACTCCTGGAAGTCTCCCAATTAAGGCTTCCATAGCTTCCAGTCATATAATTCAGTTGGACGTCTTCTGTTTGGATGAATTGTCGGACCGATAGGTGCATGTAAAGTTTGGGTATCACATGTTCCATCAGCTTCTTGTATGTCGTTCTCATTTTGCTGTGTGGATCTGTTACCCGTTATTCAAACAGTATCATCCAATTGTAACATCGGGGGAACCATGGAGCGAGGATCGACATTTGTGTTTCCATCACTAGTCAGAGCAGCATTCGCCTCTTTTAAGGAAGCGTTTTGTGCTTCAAGTTGCGCAAGTCGTTCTGGGCTGTAAGTGCCTCCAATTGAGCAGCATGATCAGTAGGAACATTGGTGTTCTTAGGGACACCATTGTTATCTTCTCCGTCCGACATATCTCACGTAATTAAAACTGTAGCCTCTTCTTCTAGCACTGTTTGGGCAAATTTTAACCGGTTCGTATCGAAACAGTTCTACAGATTGATGGGAAAAAGTGTTCCTTTATTAATGAGTAATCTTTGAACAACAAAGCTTTAAATCACAATGAATCGTAAGTACTTAGCTATCGTTTATCGAAGAACCTTTGGAGGTTCAAACGTTCATTGTTGAATATGAAGTCTCTGAGCTTTGTAGGGTTCTTGGTTCCTTGACTTGTTGAACCATTGATGATATGTTCCGTAGTATTTTATTGCTTTTATTTCTTACGTCCCCTTTATCTTTCAGGATCTCCTCTTTTTATCAACATCTCTAAAACCCTAAGCCCGCCCTTTTGGATTAAGAAGATGTGTTGGTTATTAGTCCTTTATCTCTAGAAGATTCGCATTTTTTATCGATTAAAACTTTCTTTTATTTGAACTTTCAGTTAGTCACTTTTATTTGACTAACTCATTTGAACATTCAGTTAGCCGAACTTTTTTCTATTATTTGGACCTTATGTCGGTCGGACTTCACTACGTATTCAGACTTTATGCGGGTCGAATCTTTCACGGGTCGAACATACTTGACAGATCCTATAGTTAATTTTACTTTATCCAACAGTTTAGCGACAAAAGGTGAGTTTGTATGTCAGCCTACTAGAGTGAGGCAGCGTTTCAAAGTTCAAATAACATGAAATAGTGCACTCAGAATCAATATTATGTCTTAGCAGCAAATTGATGACCCCTTTTGATACTTTACAGACTTTTTTTTTATCTGAAAACAAAGAATGAAAAAAAAAACGTGGAGGAAGATTTGAACCTCTGCCTTAGTTTATATTAAGTCGACATCATCTTCTCCATCTTTTCCCGCATCTTATATTGCAGTGTTGCAGGAGCACAATCGACCGGTGTTTCTCCTGTTGACAAATAATATGTTTAAGAGCAACACAGGAATATTAACAACGATGACAAGAAAATGTATCAGTAACTACCCTTTTTTTCTCGTCAAAATACTTTTAGCAGGACACTGATCAGAACATATCACGAATGCAAAGTTTGTGTAGCATGAGAATTTACCCTGTGCATTTTTGTCCTCAAGACTGGCTCCATGTTCCATTAACATCAACGCAATATCAGTTTTGTTGAATAGGGCAGTCTGTGGAAGCGAAACATTAAGTAATTAGTAGATTTCGACTTACCACGCAAATCGATCACACAAGTGGCAAAGAGAGAGGAACGGAAAGATTACCAGATGAAGCACTGACATTCCCTGCTTGTCATGGTAATTTGCATCCACGCCCTGAAATTCTAACAGTTTTAGTCTTCATGTATCTGTGGCAACTACAAACTTGGTCGGGCATTATCTTAGTTAAGCGCTTCTTCTTAATTGGAAACGAGTACCTCTTTCAGAAGCTTTTTCACACCAGCAATGTCACCATTCTTAATTGCTTCCCTTAATCCCTTTTTACAAACAGAGTCCATACAAGAAATGAATAATCCGTTAGACAAGGAAACTATGATTATCCATGTAATGAGATGTAAAGAGTTACCTCTCCGTTGACTTCATAATCTCTTTGGGGGTTGTCTAATCCAGGATTCAGAGCCAATCTGAGAATTTCAAAACCTTAATTACATATCAAAAATACCAGAAAGATATAGAAAAATCACTAAATAACAGCGAGTTAAAATCCAAACAGGTATCTGCTAGAAGCAACTTAAGGTCATTAGTCAGATGCCACAACAAAGAAAACAGGAAGGAAGTTTTCTACACAATTACACGAAAAGCAGATGAACCAATTACACATGTATCTACGGACGAGTTGAAGTGCAAGGGCAATCAGTTAATTCCTTGCATGCAATGATACATCCAAAGGCACAAATGCCTAGACAAACAACTTTCTCTCGTGTCTAAAGCTCATGGAGTAAACTCTAAGCCAAATCTTTTCCTTGATACTAAGATTAAATGCTTACATACCTAGCATTGCTGCTGGAAGTGGAACCTTTACTTTTTGCTGAAGTATCTGACTTCGTTTTAGGATCTGACTGAGGGAGAGCCACAGGGGCACGTGTAGGCTGTTCCAAGCATTTTTGAAAAGAGAGGTATGTATGTGATAAGATTAAGCTAGTCAAGTCAATACATGTAATTTAAGAATAACAATTTCTGCATCTAATTTTCTGACTTCCTCTTCAAAACTTCGGCTTATTAGTATGTTATAAGGAACACAATTCAGGAACTGAGAACTTACCTGTGGGTTCGGTGTATTGGTTGATTGGGAAGGAGCTACACAGATGCACAAAGGCATGCCACACTTGCATTCCATAATTTGACAGTCTCCAGGGCCCATGTCGTCGTCAAAGTCCAATCTCGAAACTCCTTCTGTCAAAGAATTAACTCTATTGGAAGAGTGCATGCGAATGACTTCTTGCCTGTGATAATGAGCTTGCTGCCACAGGCCCCAAGTACGGATAAGAAGAACCAAGTAATATTTATCAAGCTGGTTCAATATTTCGTGAGATGAAATCTCCGCTGGGTATGCAGACTTAGACTGAGAAAATGTGCATATGTTCCAATAAATTTATAATGTTAATGTATATTTGGATGCAATCTGACGATGCTATATCTTAATATGATGTAGTTATCATTGCATTGAGTAAAAGTGATCATTTTGTAGCATGCACCACAACTTCCCCTTTCTTCATCTATTTATTTTATCAAAACTCTTACCTGTTTCCATTTTCCTATCACTAAATTCCTTAATCGACTTCTCAGTAGTAGCTATTTCGATTTCAAAAGCACCAAAGTAATCATCGAATTTTCACATATTCTCTTATCTTCTAGCCTTCCTCTAGATCGACCGATCTACCTAGATCGATCAATCCATGACCGAAAATAAGATTACTAGGTTCATCCAAATTCATCCCGATCGAAAAATGAATGCCCTAGCAGACTTTAAAGACGTTCAAGGCACTAAAAATACATATTTTCACGCCCCTTAGAGGCAATCCACCATCACAACGACCATTGCAACCAAATCATTCATAAAGTTCTTAGTTTATTACTTCTAAAACTTTTTTTTTTATGAGAGCATTTCAACACCTACCTTAATATGTGGAGAAGGTATGATATTTTTTTAACATTTTTGTCAAATTTAGATTCCATATATCATTCTATTCTCCAACATATTAAACACGTAACCATAAAATTTAGAACAAATATGATCATTAAGCGAAATCCCAATGAAAAATCCCCAAATATAGGAGATGAAACTAACTCTCCACACTTCGTTAGAAACTTAGAGCCAACTATTTCACAAAGATAGGAAACATGATAGCATGGCGAATTGAGGAAACCCATCGAGCTGAGAACTTTAAAGCAGCGGAATTGGGGATTTGTGATTAACGAACCTGAGAGTTGAAAGCAATTGAGAGGACTTTAGGTAATCTGTAACACAGCGCGCCGTGCGGAGACTGAGAGGACAAACGATGCGATTTCGTGGAGACGAAAAGTAACACATAATGATGAGAAAACAACGAAACACTTTCCCTTTTATTATTTCTTGTTACAGTTCGACCCCTATATTTTCATGGTTTTGCCAAATATCCATTCTAATATGAAACTACATATATGAAATCGAAAAAGACCAATGTTCAAAATGGACAATTCTTAGGTTCACATGAACCTTTCTATTCATCCCATTCTATTATAACTAATCAAAAAATATGTTATGTAAAATTTAAATAAATTAAAAAAATAAAAACATTAAAATAAAAACTAAATTAATAATAAAAAATCAATATTTTTATTTTAAATATTAAACTATAATCTCTATACCCTAAACTATAATATATAAATTAAAGAAAAAATAAAAACTAAACCCTAAACTCTAAACCAAAATATTTTTTTTTTAAATTAAGAATAAAAACTAAACCCTAAACCCTAAATCCAAATATCAAATTTTAAAAGAAATTAAAAATAAAAACTAAATTCTAAATCCTAATCCCTAAACCCAAACATCAATTTTAATATATATATTTGGATTTAGGATTTAATTTTTATTTTTTTATTATTAAAATTAATGTTTGGGTTTAGGGATTAAGATTTTAGGATTTAGTTTTTATTTTTAATTTCTTTTAAAATTTAATATTTGGATTTAGGGTTTAATTTTAATATTTGGGTTCAGGATTTAGAATCTAGTTTTTTTTTATATATTTTTTTCTTAATTTAAATATATTATAATTTAGGGTATAAAGATTAGAGTTTACTATTTTAAAATTAATTTTTTGATTTTTTAATTATTTTATTTTTATCTATTTTTTTAATTTATTTTAAATCTTACATGACATATTTTGATTGGTTATAATAGAAGAGAGTGAATAAAGAGGTTCACCTTAAGAATTGTCCGTTCAAAATTAGGCACTAGTGAGGAATGTGAAATGACCGACCCTCATATACAATTATATGATTAGGCCGATTTTTTGTTTTCTTTCAAATTTTTTTTTTCATTCGATTTTGGAAAAAAAATATACCAATTTTTTTTTTCAGATTTATTACTGCAAATCGAAAAATCGCATAATCTGGCGACTAGGAAGAAATCATTGTGGCTCTCCTCACAGTGATATGTTCATAAAATGCATCATTTAGCTTGCATATTTTAGCCCAAATCATGTTTTATTTCATGTATTTTAGGTCTTTAGGTACTGTTTTAAGATTTAGGAGTTTGCATTAGGTTCAAGTGAGTCTTTGCATGGTTTGGAGTCTTAAACACGTACTTTGGAGTCTATTTGGAACAGAAGAGATGAGACCAGGTGTTGAAATAGAATTTGGAGGATCAAAATTGGTGAAAACAGAATGTTGGATTCTATCGCCAATTCCCTGTACCGCAGGAAGAAAAACACCGGCTAAAAGGCGAACTTTTATCAGCCAAAAATCCATACCGCGGGAAAGAAGTTTTATCGGGTGCTGCTTGTGTCTGGATCATGCAACTATCGGCTAAAATGCTTATCGGGTGGAGGTTGGCTCGGTAAAATTCTATACCAGATCAGAAGAGTATCGGCTAAAGTTTTATGCCGAGAGAGATGAGTTTTACCGGCTAAAAATGCTTACCGCAGAACAGATTTTCGGCCAAAAAGCTTACTGCGGTACATGAAGACTCAGCCAAAATCTCCGGTTCGCGACACGCATCAAAGATCAGCCATCCAGAAAGTCTTAACGTCCGATTTGGCTTCCGGAGTTTTCATGAAAGTTGGAGAGGATTGAGTTGTGGTTCCAGAACAGTTCAAATCAGTGGATTCAGATCAGTGATCCATCAGAAGACGTACCTGTATCACTTGTATTCCATACCGATCCGGTGTGCTTCAAAGGTTATGCGGGACGATGCCCTTCCCCTCCGACTCAGTCTCCGGAACCTTCTTCAAGATTCAAGAGCTTTGAGTCTTCTTACCAGAACACCTGAGATCACTCGATTTGAAGCTCCGAGCTGGGAGATAACGTTTCTGGAGTGAACATGGGTCCAGAAGCTTCTTTTCTGATCGGTCTGATGCACAGTAAAAATTGGCCGTTCGGAAAACCTTCCACTCCCCGGATGCAAATGAGTTCTTCACCAAAATTTGAGCTATTGGAATGATATTTCACGTGGACTTGGTTTCATATCATTTGGAGTTGTGAGCCGAAAGTTACAAGAAGCAGAAGACACATATATCGGTTCGGGTTTCAAGGAGCAAATCTGTGCTAAGTGTTTCACAAGAACCTCGGCTTGGACACCTTGGTATACCTATATGATATATTCATAATTTGTCATGATTAGGACTGCATTTTTTGTCCAAATATTGAGTCTCATGCATACATTTAGCTAGTTTTGTTAGAGTTTGTCCTTGGTTCTAGCTTTGTTTAGTATTTGCATTAGGTCCTAGAGTGTCCTGCATTTTTGGAGTGTTCTCAGGTCATTTGGAGACTTTTGGGAGCAACTTGGAGCTGGGATCATGGAGGAACCCTCACCTGTGTACAGCAACTCGGACAGATGGTTTGGTGCAGACAAAACCTTCACTTTGATCGCGTGGGACGAAGGACTTGCAATGCGATTCAACCTCCGGTGTCTTCATCACGAATCAAGAAGAATACGTCTAGTTTCCGGAACATGTAATATCGTCCTGTTTGTAGTTGTGAGCTGAAAGTTACGGCGATCGGAAGCAGTGCATGTCTCGGAGCTGATAAAAGACCAAGGCAACGCGCGTCAAAGAACTGGCGGAACGGAGCCTTTGCCGACGTCACCTGAGCTCGAGCCCTTCACCAAAGTTGAAGATGTCTGAGTCTTCTGTCTAATGAAGTTGGAATCGCACCATATGGGAGGTACTCTCCCACGAATGTGAAGTGGTCCAAGGAGACCTGAAGCCTGCGAGATGGTCTTGCGACTTGGTTAACTCACAATGCCTGGAGATTAATGCCTGGGGGTTGAGCTGCGTGTTGAGATGTGCGAGTAAGGTGTCACTGGGTAAGGTCTGAGGTTCCCGAGCAAGACAAATGCTAAGTCCACAACCGTGCGACTTGAGCATGCGAGTTGGCCAAGCTTGGAACTAAACCACATGAAGACTCGCAATCTACACCGACTTGAGCATTCGACTTGGGACTGATGGAGACCACCCCGCACATATCTCTGAAGGCCCCTGCTACATGGTCGTGCGAGTTAAGAAGCAAAGAAGACTTAGCTGCATGAAGGTTCGCAAATCACACCGAGAGAGTAATGCGGCTGAGCTTACATGGGTTTCATCTCGTTCAAGCTTCTTTCTTCGGTTGTGCGACTTAGGCCTGCGACTTGGGATTACATGAGGACCAAGTCGCACACTTATCCTCCCCAGATTTTGTCTTGGTCATGCGAGTTGAAGAGGAAGAGGACTGAATCGCACAAAGACTCGCAAAACACACCTAGATGGACATGCGGTTGAGACTAAGGGACTTAAGGCTCACAAGACTGCTTCTTCATCTGTGCGACTTGGGCATGCGACTTGGGAGGCTCCTGACCAACTCGCACATTCGTCACTTTACCCACTAAATCCGGGTCAGGACCCGGTTTATTCCGGGTTGACCCGGTTCGTTTTTAGAGACCTATATATAGTTTTTAGGGTTTTATCCCAAAAACTTAAGCTTTATTCCAAAATCTCTTTGCCTATTTTGTGTAAGAAGACTCCTTTTTGAAGAGAAATATCTGATTTGGGCGTTTTTATCAAGAGAGTTTGAGAGATCTTGTGTTTAAAAGCTGTCTTCTTCTTAATCTATCATTTCTGATCATCAAATCACACTTCTAATCATGATTAACAACACATCTTGCAAAGGATCTAGTGTGTTGGTCATGATTAGTGAGTAATCCCCATATTAAGGTCTTAGATATGTATATTAGGGTGCTTAAGTGGTAGATTAGTGAGCTTAGGAGTTAGATCATTCATATTCCATTCTCTACAACCTGTTCTTAATGCTAGATCCATACACATCATATGTGGTCTAGATTCTTGGCATTTCATGCACCAAAAGTATTTGATGAAATGCCTGAATCAAGGTTGTTAGAGGTTTAAGTGTTATTCATCATGGGAATGATTGTTTATATGCTTAAATGACAGATTAATCTGGTTCTTAATGCTTGTTGATTCATGTTTCACTAATGATGATTAGGTTAGAAACTGTTTTAGCATAGAAGTTGATACCTTCATGAGAGGATTAACTTAATCAATGATGTTTAAGTTGAATGGTTTGCTTGATCACATGGTTCATTAGCTCACTAGTTTAACACTGAAGGCACCCTAATTGACTATCATGTCTAAGACCTTTCTCATCATCATACATACATTCTCATCATTATTTTGTTATTTGCTTGTCTTTGTTTGCTTTGCTTATCATTGTTATCTTCTCTTTATATTGTTTAGTTTCTTGTTTCAATCATCAGTTCAAACCAAACCTCTTTTGTTTGCTTGAATTAAGATCAGTTCATATAGTCTAGTGTCTAGCTTCAACATTCTTGGATTGACACCCCTTATACTACTTTGACAAAGGGGATTGATAGCCCTTAAGAGCCTAAAAACTCCTGTCTATCACAATACCAAGGGTCATATTCACGAATGGCTTGGTCTCTACCTCGACCATAAGCCTCGCCATAGCCCAAGCCGAGGCATTTTATCATCACAAGCTTCTCCTGGAACGACTAAGTATCAAAGCTGTGATCTTCAAAGTCAAGAAATTCTGCTAAGTGTTGGGAAAGACCCTCAACCAAAATACCGCGGTATGGCTATACCAAGGCTATTTTTACGAAATATTTTGGTCAAGGGTGTTCTTCCACTTTCAATCAAAACCTTTTCACGAGAAGATCAAAGACAAGGATCCATGCAAGATTCAAGGGTGTTCTTCCACTTTCAATCCAGATGCAAGACACCCTCGCCATAAAGACCTCGGCACAAGACTTGTCAAAGCCAAGGGTCTGACCTAAAGACCCAGCAGGACCGGTTCAGTACTGATGGGCTTGCGGGCCTAGG